ATTGAGATGATCATGAGGTTTTTTGTCCTTTTCTCTTGTTGATGTGATGTATTACATTGATTGATTTGCGTATGTTGAACCAGCCACTTTTAAGCTTATCAGGAAAAGGGACATGAATGAAACACGGCGAGGGGGGGGCAGCTGTGTGAGGAGATGCCTGAGGCTTCCATTTGGAGGCAGTCATGGACATTCCCCTTTCATCTGGGAAGCCACGTGCTCCTCCCATGAGGACAAGCAGCACACTCACCTTTGCTGCGACAGTACTTCCAGTTTTCTTTATATTCTGCGTCTAGAGAACACCAGTACATTATGGAACCACGGCGAGTGCAATCAAAATACTTTCTGTTTTCATACACGAATGGGAAAACACATTCAGTTTCTGAAAGAAGAAAGACATTGTTCACTTCTTTGGCTCTTAGTGTTTCATGATCTCTGCAGTAACTCTGGCAAGTTTCTGTTCAACCCAGCCCATCATCACCAAGGGCCCAGTGATGATCATTACAGAGCCCTCTGCTAAGCACCAGGGATACCCAGGTCTATGTGAGTGTGGTCTGTGCCCTCGGGGCTAGGAAGGGTTCTTTAACTTTGGGCCGTTCCTACCTTAGCCTATGGCACCAGCCCTGAAGCCCAGGCCCTGGGTAGATGCCAGCGCCATCATCAACAGGATGCTTAGTCTTGACTAGGAAACACCCTATGGGGGCCCCTGGCTCTTCACATTCAGTCTGGGGAACGTGCACCCCTGCCTCCTCCCGCTACTGAGAGAGCGAAATTAGCGCATGCGTGTAGAGTAACTTAGGCGAAGCCAGATCAGTTACCGCACCATGCACGCTAGTTCGTTGGATTTGATTGTTGTTTTATTTTCATTATTTTCCAACGTCAGTTACCTGGACAAGAAACACTGAAGTTCACAGGCAGCAGCTCATCTGGAAGAAAACCAGGGGCAGAGGAGACGGTTGGAGGAGGAATGAGAACAAAACACGGACACAGCCAGAACACAGAAGTAGGACCGGCTCTGCATCTCTAACTTTTATCCTCTTACATTTTACAGTCATTGTTTACCCTGACTAGAGAACTAAACATAACAGATGCTTAAGAATCTGACCCTTTCTCATTGATGTCCCACAGACACACATGAATTAAACAGCAAAGCTGAGGCTCAGCACGTTATTCACCGGACGTGCCCTGAGACTAACTGTCCCTGTTACTTCAAACAGGAAACCCTACTTACAACAAAAACTTTAATCTCAACAACATAACCAACCCTGCATGTAGGCTGTCCCCGTCTGGAATGTTGGAAAGGATATTTAGGAATGAGGAGAGTTGACAGTCAATAATAACACAATAGGCTTTTGGGTCAGACTGACAGGGTTTACATTTCAGAGACTTGTCTGAAAATTAAATAAAATGTAAAGCCCTTCATGGTGTCTGGCCCTTGGGACGTACTCAAGAAATGGCAGACATGTTTGTCACCACTAGTATTATTATCACTATTTTTACACTTTGATCCACGTCCAGTGCAGGTTCTTTTGCACCAGTTCTAGCCCATCGCCCCTCCCTCACCTCCATTCACAGGCTCCAGGCGTAGAAATACAGATGCGCCAGCCCAGATCAGAAAGAGTGCCAAACACGGTGCCATGGCCACTTGCTTTCCTGTGACTGACACACATCAGTCTGCTTCTTATATAACCTGTATCCCTCTCACCTCTTCACCCCGATAAGATCACCCTTGACAGGATGGTGCCTGCGCATTCCTGAGCCTGAGAGCATGTATGTTAAGTTTATCTCTCAGATGGAATGTACAGGACATCGGCTTGCACTTAATGTCTCAGCCTCAGTAGTTTGAAATGCACTTACACTGAGGCCAAAATGTTTGCACAATCCTTCTCAGTTCCAGCGTCCCATGGCCAGGGATGAGAGAAAGATGAAAAAGGACCATTTTCTCTCACAAGGAATCAACAGCATCCATCTCATCTCATCTCTGACTGCAGAGTAAGCATGAGGTCAGGCCCAAGTCCCAACCAGTCTGCCTGTTGGAGCCTCAGAGCAGCCCAGTAAGGCAGCTGTGCAGGTCTCCATTTGAAGAAGCAGGAAACTGAGGCTCAGGGGGCTCCTCAAGCGCCCAGGGTGAGTTGGGGCAGAGCCGGCTGTTGAAGCTGCTCAGACTAAGCGACATTTTCAGAGTTGAAGGTCCCCTGCCATGTCTCACACTCAACCACAATTGTCTCCCCAAGTCAGCTCCCCACCCTGCCTCAAAGCTCCAGAAACGCTGGAAACACAGTCTACTTTCTAGACCAGAGTAGAAAGGCCTGGAGCTCCCCTTTGCTGGTTATGAAATGCTCCCCTTGCCCTGCGGCTTAGTTTTCTAACTTGCAAAACACACATCAAATGCCTTATAGGGCAATGTGAGTTCTGCCTATGAGGAGCTTTAAACTGGTAGGGGGCCTCTGTATACAGTAGGTGCTCTGTGAACACCAGCTCACCATAGGTGCTAATCCTTGTGTCCATTTGTAAGTCTCCTCCCTTCTGCTGGTTCTCTAATGAACACATCCTATGTCTTAGAAAGCTATGCAGTAATGTTTTCCGGGAGAAGATAACCAGCCACCATGCCTTCACTGAATGGGATTTCTGATGCATATTGTAGGTCTGTTGAGGGATTTGGCATTTCAAGGTTTTGACTATCTACCCAAGAAGACTCCTTAAAATGAAGACTTGAAGGCTGCCTTCTAAGCCTGTGTGATTTTTAATTTTATGTGTCAACTTGGCTAGGAAAAGGGGTGTCAGGATAACTGGTAAAATATTAATTTGGGCTGTCTCTGTGAGGATGTCTCCAAAAGCTATTAGCATATGAGTCCTATGACTCACCAATGTGAGTGGGCATCGTTCGATCCCTTGAGGGCCTGAATAGAACAAAAAGGTAGAAGAAGGGTGAATTTGCTTTATTTGCTTGAGCTGAAACATCCTTCTTCTCCTGCCCTTGGTCATCAGTGCTCCAGATTTCAAGCTCAGAACAGGACTTACACCACTGGCTTTCTTGGTTCTCAAGTTTGCAAGTAGCAGATGGTGGGACTTCTCAGCCTCTAAGTCCTCCCATAAATCTTTCTTATCTATCCCTCTACATATCCTGTTGGTTCTGTTTCTGGAGAACCCTGACGAATACAGATTTTGATACCGAGGTTGGCTCTCGATGAACAGCATGTTAAGGATGAGTTTTCTGATTTGGTTCTGAGGTTTTGGGAATTGGTGCTCTGACCTGATTAGATTTAAAGACATTAATAACTTGATTTCCAGTCATAAAGAGAGCCCTGACGGTCCATGGTGTGAACTGTTTCAGAGTCAGGTAAAATATCTGCGTTAGATATGCCTAATCAATCATATAAGAAGCAGGGTGCTATGTGATGCTGTAAATGAACATTTTGGGGAGACTAAGGAATACAGTGACCTTGGCTGGTTGCTCTCCATGTCACTGGACAAAATGGTGAAAGTAAAAGATGAGCTCAGGAATTCAAACTCCCAGCTCAACTTCTGCCTAAATGACTTACAAGTTTCTTTTTTTTTTTTTAGCTTTTATTTTTTTAATTTTTGTAACATTTTTATTGAGTTATAGTCATTTTATAATGTTGTATCAAATTCCAGTGTAGAGAACAATTTTTCAATTATACATGAACATACATATATTCATTGTCACATTTTTTTTTCGCCGTGAGCTACCACAAGATCTTGTATATATTTCCCTGTGCTGTACAGTATAATCTCGTGTATCTATTCTGCATATGCCTGCCAGTATCTACAAATTTTGAAATGCCAGTCTGACTCTTCCACCCCCTTGGCAACCACCCCCTTGGCAAACACCAGTTTGTACTCTGTGTCTGTTAGTCTGTTTCTTGACCCTTATCTCCTATAGCTTCAGGGCTGAAATTGCTGAAAATCAGACATAGAACCTCCTCCTGCAATTGGCTGATTTGGCAACTTGATTATAGTGCAGGTTGAACCCTCAGCCTCTCTACTGTTAAATGACGGTATTGGCAGAGAAGGCTGGGATCCTGTAAGTTGGGATGGGGACCTGGGGGAAGACTCTGATGACGTTGGAGACATTGAGCCCCTAAATTCTATTTTTTTTTCTAGTGGAAGTACTGGGGATTGAACCCAGGACATTGTGCATGCTAAGCACACGCTGTACCACTGAGCTCTACCCTAACCCTGAGCTCCTAGATTCTGATGTATCTTCTTTGCCAGTGGATGAGGTTTTCCCACCCCTAGTGGAAGCATCCTCCTCAGTCCAGCAGAAGTGGCCCTCCAACCCCCAGTGGTGGTGGCCTCCCCACATCTTTACCCACAATGGTACAGGCCTTTCCACTTAGTCTGAAGGGATTAACCACTGCATCGCCTAGGAAACAGTAATGGCCCCCCTGAGGCAGCATTGTCATGCAGGACAATGCTGATTCTCCTCAGGACCCACCCCTACCACCCCTCTTTTCTTCTAGGCCTATCCTTACTAGACACAAGTCCCAGAAGACCCATAAAGGCAAGGTACAAAGTATGGCCCCTGAGGAGGTGCACTGTACTCCAAAGGCACTACTTGAGAAATCTGGGAAACACGGTGGGAATGGATACTAGGTGTGTGGGATGAAGGGGGAAGGAACCTAAAGTTAGATTGGGCTGAATTTATCAATGTGGGCTCTCTACACAGAGATTCTGCACTTAATGCTGCAGCTCAGGGAGCTAGAAAGGTCTCTAATGGTTTGATTGTTTGGCTGGCTGAAACATGGACCAAAAGGTGGACCATTGTAAGCAAACTAGAAATGCCTTGCCTCCCTTGGTTTAATGGAGAGGAAAGGATTCCAAGGTTTAGGGAGATTGGAAAGTTGGAGTAGATTTGTCATTTAAGACTGTCAGTGAAAAGAAACAACAAACAATCTATGATAGGAATAGAAAAGACTTTTATTTGAACCAAGCTGAGGACTATAGCCTGGGAGACAGCCTCTCAGATAACTCTGAGAAACTGCTGTGAAGAAGCAGCATTTTCAGCAGTTTTATATCTGACAAGAACAAAGACTATCAAACATGCCAGGGGTACAGTCCTTCAAGGTTCCAAAAAAAACAAAACAAACAACCCCGCCCCCAAAAAAACAGGTCAAGATGTACATAGTGAGTCAATATGGTCTTGGCACCTGGGAAGGGAATCTTATCATTGAAGGAGGACCAGCATTCGCATCCCGGGAAGGGAGGCATTTAATCTTTATGTTTAACATTGACTTTCTTTACTTCTGGTCAGTGTGCACTTTTCTTTAATAATTAAAGTAGATGTACAATGTATGTTTGATAGGTCACAAACAGGCTGTGCGAGTCAGCACAGTTAGGGTAAATTCAAGCTTTCTCATATGTAAGCCAGAATGAATTCCCCATACCTCTATATGTGAAAATTTCTTTTATCAAGACCACATGGAGAGGGTCCAGAAGACATACCTTTCACCATGACTGAGAGAAACAAATTTGTGACGGGAGTCCAGCATCCTTGAAGGGCTCCGTGATTGCTCTCCTGTGTAGGTCCCCTTACAGTGGGAACCACAGCCACTCAATTAGAAAACCTAATGCAGTGAGAGTAGTTGGATCCCAGGGTGGCAGAGGCCAAGTGGCAGCATTCAACCACTTAAAGGCAAGGTGGGGTGGTTACCATAAGGGACAGCAGAGTCAATGCAGCAATCAAAACAGTCTGACTTGCAGACCTATGGCTGGGCAAGTTGATCATGGTGTTCCTAGAAGTTAAATAGATGAGAAGCCTACTAAATCCTTTTTTAATCTGAATAAGCAGGAAAGCTCTCCATCAAGAGAATAAAAGTCTAGCCTGAAAGTCACGGCCCCTTAGTCAATTTCCAGACTTGAGCCAGTTTACAGATTCAGAATCCCTTCAAAGAAGGGAAAGCTGGGTCCCTTTGAGGAAGGACCCCAGGACACAATTCAAAATTTATACTGTTAATCTTCTCCCAGTCTTCCCCAAAGAGACCTGTGACCTTTTAGCGGGGTAACTGTACATTGGAGAAAAGGGAATAATGAGACTTTTCAGGAAATAACGGACACTGGCTATGAACTCACACTGATTCCAGGAGACCCCAAATGTCTTCATGGTTCTCAGATTACAGTAGGGTCTAAGGAGGTCAGGTGATTAATGGGGTTTAAGCTCAGGTCTTTCTCACAGTGGGTCCAGTGGGTTCCTGAACTCATTCTGTAGATATTTCCCCAGTTCCAGAATGCATAATTGTAAGAGATGTTCTTAACAGCTGGCAGAATCCACATGTTTGTTCCCTGACCTGTGGCTTGAGGGCTATTATGGTGGGAGCCACTATATCTGCCTCTACTGAGGAAAATCATAAATCAAAGCCAATACCATGTTCTTGGAGGGATTAGAGATTAGTGGCACCATCAAGGCCTTGAAAAAGGCGGGGGAGGTGATTCCCACCACACCCACTTTCAACTTGCCTGTTTGGCCTGCGCAGAGCCCAGATGGACCTTGGGAATGACAGTGGATTATAAGCTTAACCAAATGCAGCTGCTGTGCCAGATGTGGTTTACTACTTAAACAAATTAACATATCCCCTGGTAGCTGGTGTGCAGGGCTGGTGCATCTGATCTGGCAAATGACTTCTTCTCAATCCATGTCCATCGAGCCCACCAGAAGCAGTTGGCTTTCAGTTGGCAAGAGCAGCGATACACTTTCACCGTCCTCTCTCAGGGATGTCAGCTCTCCAGCCCTGTATCATACTTCAGTTCGCAGGGATCTTGATAGCCTTTCCCTTCTGTGAGACATCACGTGGGTCCATCACATTGATGACATTCGGCTGATTAGACCAAGTGAGCAAGTAGTAGCAACTGCTCTAGACTTACTGGTAAGACATTAGTGTGTCAGAGGGTGGGAAATAAATCTGACCAAAATTCAGGGCCTTTTACCTCAGTGAAATTTCTAGGGGTTCCAGTGGTGAGGGGCATGTGGAGAGATCCCTTCTAAGGTCAAGGATAAGTTGTTGCATTTGGCTTCTCCTACAACCAAGAAAGGGTCCCGATGCCTAGTGGGCCTTGTGGATTTTGGAGGCAGCATAGCCCTTATCAGGGTGTGTTATTCCAGCCCATGTACCAAGTGACCTGAAAAGTCCCCCGTCTCAGGCTCTCTGATTCAGACTGAATTATGCCATCAGCTTTCCTGGTTCTCCAACTTGCAGGTGGCAGAGTGTGGAACTTCTCAGCCCCCAATTCCTATAATAAAACTTCTTTCCTTCTTTCTTTCTGTCTATCTGTCTCTCTCTCTCTCTCTGTCTACCTCCGTATCTATCCTTTTGGTTCTGTTTCTCTGGACTGATTGAAGGTGACTCAATATTCAACTTTCCAACGCTTTTTTTCTGTAACTCCTTTCACATTCTCTTGTGTCCAAAGAATTAGTTCTTTGCTGACTTCTTGCTGCAGGATCCAGAACTCAGACAAGCCCTCATCTCAGGGCCAAGGCTGGGCAATTGCACCACCTCTGTTTTTCAGAAGTGAGATTAGAATGTGTGCTTTGTACATGTGGCCTTGTCACTCTTATTGTACAAATAACACGAACACATCACACATCTATTGTCTCATCTCAAGAATCTATGTCCCCAAGGGAGGAAGGTATAGCTCAGCCTTATACCTTGAGTGCCTGCTTAGAATGCATGAGGTCCTGGGTGCAATTCCCATGTACCTCTATTAAACAAATTAAAAAATCTAATTACCTACGTGCAGAAAAAAATTTTTTAAAAAGAATCACATCTCTAAGAACAAGGCTCGTCAGCCCCACTAAAGTGTCCCACACCTTCTCTGTGGCTCCTTGGCACCTCTAGAAAGATCTTCTGGAACCCCCCACCCCCGACAGCAAGACAATCATCTCCATATCTCCATGTGTTATATTCTTTTTAGGTCTATCAGCTGGCCCTGCTTGGCTGAAATACCCTGTCTCTGTCCCCAGTTTGCAATCTGGTGGGGATAAAAGGTGGTACAAAGAGAAGTCAGGAAGGTACAATCATGGTGAGGAGAGAAGGCGTTCATGAAGTGCAATCAGGAAACAGTTCACCCAGCCTCAGACGTCTGGTCTGAGCACTGAATGCCTAAATGATGGGGGCTGTGGGTGTCAGGTGTCCCGCTGGGAATTTCTGCAGGGATGGGGAAGACCCAGTGACTGGAATGTAAGAGCTCAGCGTGTCTGAAGGACAGGGAAGGGGCTGTTGGCTGCAATGCCATTGAGGTAGGGGTGAGGAAGGGGCTAAAATTGGGCTAGAGTCCAAGAAATGTCAGACCACAGTAAAGAATTTGGAAGTTACCTTAAGGGTGATGGGAGACCATTCGGGGAGTTTGGTCAGAGGAATGACTTGATTTTATTTGTGCTTTAAAACATTGTTCTGGATGTGATGAGTGAAGCATGGACTGAATGGGAGGTAGCGAGGGAGATTAGCTGGCAATTGAGGTAACCTGGGAGAGGTGTGCTGCCCGTTAGGCCTGGAGGGACCTTTGAAGAGGTGAGAACTTTCCAAGGTGAGACTTAAGATAATCTGCTTTTCAGTACACAGCATGTGGTTAAATGGGAGGGCTAGGAGGAGGCGTGCAGGACAGAAGGACCCATGGGTTCACACTGATGATAAGCTGGCATTCACAGGGCACCTACTGTATACAGAGGCCCCCTACCAATTTAAAGCTCCTCATAGACAGAACTCACATTGCCCTATAAGGCATTTGATGTGTGTTTTGCAAGTCAGAAAACTAAGCCGCAGGGCAAGGGGAGCATTTCATAACCAGCAAAGGGGAGCTCCAGGCCTTTCTACTCTGGTCTAGAAAGTAGACTGTGTTTCCAGCGTTTCTGGAGCTTTGAGGCAGGGTGGGGAGCTGACTTGGGGAGACAATTGTGGTTGAGTGTGAGACATGGCAGGGGACCTTCAACTCTGAAAATGTCGCTTAGTCTGAGCAGCTTCAACAGCCGGCTCTGCCCCAACTCACCCCGGGCCCTTGAGGAGCCCCCTGAGCCTCAGTTTCCTGCTTCCTCAAATGGAGACCTGCACAGCTGCCTTACTGGGCTGCTCTGAGGCTCCAACAGGCAGACTGGTTGGGACTTGGGCCTGACCTCATGCTTACTCTGCAGTCAGGGATGAGATGAGATGGATGCTGTTGATTCCTTGTGAGAGAAAATGGTCCTTTTTCATCTTTCCCTCATCCCTTTGCCTGGCCATGGGACGCTGGAACTGAGAAGGATTGTGCAAACATTTTGGCCTCAGTGTAAGTGCATTTCAAACTACTGAGGCTGAGACATTAAATGCAAGCCAATGTCCTGTACATTCCATCTGAGAGATAAACTTAACATACATGCTCTCAGGCTCAGGAATGCACAGGCACCATCCTGTCAAGGGTGATCTTATCGGGGTGAAGAGGTGAGAGGGATACAGGTTATATAAGAAGCAGACTGATGTGTGTCAGTCACAGGAAAGCAAGCGGCCATGGCACCGTGTTTGGCACTCTTTCTGATCTGGGCTGGCGCATCTGTATTTCTACGCCTGGAGCCTGTGAATGGAGGTGAGGGAGGGGCGATGGGCTAGAACTGGTGCAAAAGAACCTGCACTGGACGTGGATCAAAGTGTAAAAATAGTGATAATAATACTAGTGGTGACAAACATGTCTGCCATTTCTTGAGTACGTCCCAAGGGCCAGACACCATGAAGGGCTTTATGCTTTATATAATTTTCAAGCAACTATATGAAATTTAAACCCAGGTGAGTTTGGCTCCAAAGCCAAAGGTCTTACTGACTAACAATCCTCATAAGAGACTCCTCATTCCTAAATATTCATTCCAACATCCCAGATGTAGGCAGTCTACACACAGGGTTGGTTATGTTGTTAAAATTAAGAGTTCTTGATGTAAGTAGGGTTTCCTGTTTGAAGTAACGGGGCGGTTAGTCTCAGGGCACGTCCTACAACTAGCATGGCAGACTGTGTGTCAGTATAGTATCGATGAGAAGGTGGAAGATTCTAACGCATTTATTATGTTGTAGTCTTCTAGTACACATCTAGAACGTATCTATTTAGAACAAACATGGCCTTCAAAATGTAAAACAAAAACACCAACGATGCAACACAAAGCAACAAAGCTCCAACCAGCATTTTTAATAATAATATTGGGACAGTTATTTTAAAAATGTAAAACAAAAACAAAAGCACAAACAAAAACCCAGTATCACTAACTACAGTCATTATTTCTGTACAGTAGATCTCTACAACTTACACCAAAAATACATTAAGTGGGAAGATCTTGTGTAATTATTGCAATTAAAAAATTATAAAATTTTAGCGTGAAAAATAAAAAGTTAGCGATGCAGAGCGGGTCCTGCTATAGAATGTATTCAGACTGCCTCAGTTTTATTCTCGCTCCTCCTCCATCCCTCTCCTCTGTTCCTGCTTTTCTTCCAGTTCAGCAGCTGCCTGGGGACCTCAGCGGTTCTTTGGCAGTTAGCCCAGGTAACCAGCACTGGGAGATAATGAAAGCAAAGCAGCCGTCAGATACAACAAACTGACACGTTGGAGAGGTCACTGCGGAGTCTCAAGAGTTATTTCAGAGGCATGAGCTAATTTCGCCCTCTCAGTAACGGGAGGAGGCAGGGGCGCGCATTCCTCTAGGCGGCCCGGATAGAGTGGTTTCCTCATCAAAGGCTAGCGGCCTGTAGGTGGTGGGGCTGGAATCTGAGCCCTGGGTTAGGGTTTCAGAGCTGGTGCCACATGCTAAGGAAGATAGAGCCTCATTCTAAGAAACAGTGTCTAATAAGGGAGCTTTTCCAAGAGGCAGAAGTCGTGATTGGGTGGGGAGATGGTATTTATACAGAAATATGTGCACGACTTGGGGCAAGGTGCTGTTTGTGACCAGTAAATACTGGTCTTGAGAGAACTCACCAGGCCACGGATACCACAGCCAGTGCCACATAACCACAAAACCCTCCAAGCTTGAGGGGCTGCTGGGAGGTGACTGGAAGCCTGAGACGGGGAGCATGTGGGGCGGGGGTCTTGGGTGGTTGTGTTGGGTGTGCTCCCTTTAAAGCTGGAGGCAGCAAGGTGTTTGCCCAGGGGCCTCCCGACCTGGTGCGGGAGAGGAGCGGTCCCTGGCTTCTTTCTCTCCATCATGGGTCCCCATGGCCCTCCAGGTTCTGGTTCCTGAGCGAGCATGTAGGTCCCCGGATTTGCCAAGAATCTCACCTCCACCACTTCAGGCCGCAGGGATTGGGGGGCGGCTACAGAAGCCTGTGGACCCGCCCTGCCTTCAGTGCAAAAATTCAGGCACCAGGATGCCCCAACCAGGATGCTCGAGCTGCGGAAGTGCAGGAGCAGCAGAGCTTCCACGCTGTGAAAAGTGGGAGCACCCTTCATGAGGATGGCTGCTGTCCACTAAAAACAAATGGACAATGTAAGAGCTGAGTTTTACTTGGGGAAAAATGAGGACTATAGTCTGGGAAACGGTGTTTCAGATAGCTCTGAGGAGCTGTTCCGAAGAGGTGGAGGGGAGTTCAGTGTATAGGTGACTTTAGTGAAGGGGGAATATGTGCAGTTTGGCACACATTTTGGCAAAACATTGCTGCTAGTCAGAGGAGCAGATGTCTCCATTAATGATTTTAGTGCTTTTCCAGATATGAGAAGATGCAAGAAACTAGACTCTTAAAATCTTCTCTTGAAAATATGACTATCTGAAGGTCTGCTCTACCAGTGTTTTTCCAGAGCAGAGAGTGTCTCATTTCTGGTCTCAGCCCTGAACTCCTTTCAGGGTATGTTGAAGGTCAGTGGCTGCAATGGCTAGTGGCTTCATTCTTGTAGAACCAGATGGCGAATGACAATTTTTAGTTGGCAGGGCCTTGGAAAAGAATGTGGCTTTCTATGGGGATGAATGGGGTTTTCCTCTGGTTAGTCCAGGGCCTGGCTTAGAAAGCGCCTTGATGAGCCAGGTTGGCACGCGGGCCCTGGGAACACTTGCCCTGCCATTGTCACCAGGGCAAGGTCAGGGTGGGAGCAATGCTGTTTTATCAGTAGAGTAAGAGGCAGAACACCGAACATGACAGGCCTGGACTTTTGTCCCCTGGCTTAAACAGGATCTGCTCCTCAGTGCCCCAGTATGTCTTGGAATGTAAGTTTACTTTATGTGATTTATATTAATGGATTTAAAAATAAAATAAACCCTGTATTATATTACTTATCTCCAATCCATTCAATGTCAAACTCAGCACATGCTAAAACTATCCTTGATGTACCACAAATGTGGCTCAGATAATCGTTAAGCTTCCCTTTGATGTCAGGCAGAATATTAACAACAATAGCAAGAAATCACCTGTGCTCACAGACGTGCAATCTTTTTAGACTTTTGCTATTGAATCTGGTGAAGAAGAAGCTACAGTTCCAGATACATCAGATCAACAGGTTACAAAAAATTATGATCCAAAATCAGGCTTCTTTGTGGTCTGGCAAGCTCTTCTATTGCCTGAAGCTCCAATCTTCATGAGAAATGTGTCTGGGTAAATAGCATATCATTGGAAGCTAAGGAATCCTTCCTAGTCCTGAGGGCACAGACCACACCCACATAGTCCTGCATATCCCTGGTGCTTGGCAGAGTGTAGGCCCCTGCCTGAAGGCTCTAGAGAATAAGCCACGGGCTGAACTGATAAACAAGCTGTGAGAGATGTCACGTAGCCGGCTGGATAAGAGATGGCCTACTTAATGTATCCAGTATGGACGGCTGGATAGCCAACGACGGGTAAGAGCCTCAGAGGAGGACCACCTCAGACAGGCACAGCCGGCTGGATGAGAGATGGCCTACTTAATGAAGTTTTGTGACGAGCTTTAAAACAGTCTGTCCTTGATCATGTAACACCCTGTGCTTACTGCAGGAGCCTGGGAACCTGGAGCCTGGGAACCGAAATAGCTTAAGATTATTAACATTGTTATAACTTAGATGATATGTGAGGCACCATGCATGTTCTATATAAATCCTTTTCTAAAAATCAATTAACAGAGAACTGCTTCGCTTCTCTCCGCACGGTGTTCGTGTGTACATAATATCGCACCACCGACACAGAGGGCTCTGTAATGATCACCAGGCCCTTGGTGATGATGGGCTGGCTTGAACAGAAACTTGCCAGTGTTACTGCAGAGATCGTGAAACACTAAGAGCCAAAGAAGTGGACAATGTCTTTCTTCTTTCAGAAAATGAATATATTTTCCCATTCATCTACAGAGGTGAAATGCATTTTTATTTGTACTGACTGTAGTTCCATATACAACTAGTGTTCTCTAAATGCAGATTATATAGGAAGATGGAAATACTGTAGCAGGAAAGGTGAGTGTGCAGCTTGTCCTCATGGGAGGAGCACGTGGCTTCCCAGATGAAAGGGGAATGTCCATGACTGCCTCCAAATGGAAGCCTCAGGCATCTCCTCACACAGCTGCCCCCCCTCCCCCGTGTTTCATTCATGTCCCTTTCTCCTGATAAGACTTAAAAGAACCCTACAAGAATTAATTTTCTCACCCATTCCTTTTATTTTTCAGACTTTGCCCGATGTTACTTTCCCTTTATCTATCATAACAAAGTTTATAACAATTGCACAACACTTGGGAGTTTTAATGGGAAGCTTTGGTGCTCACTGTCTCCAAACTATGACGAGGATAAAGTTTGGAAGTAATGCTAGCAATCAAAGGGTAAGAGTGTCCGGGGAGGATGGGGAAAGACAGGGGTGAGCCGGGAAGAGACAGAGCTGGATAAAGAGGTGGAGTGAGGTGCCACGGAGAGGAGTGAGAAGGAAAGAGGAGGCAGGTGGGAAGACAGGATGAGGTAGGAAGGTGCAGGAGGAAGAGTGAGGAGCAGAGGTCCAGAGAGGGGAGAGAGGGGAAAAGGGAGGAAAGATGGAAAGAGAGTAAGAGACAAGGGCAAAATGCAAAAGATGGAGAGAGGAGAGTCCAAAAGGGAAGAAGAGGGTTTGCAGGGGGAAAATGGAAGGAGGAGGATCTGGGAAGGATTCGTGACCAGAAAAGGTGGAAGAGAAAGTGAGCGAGGGGCAGAGAGAGGACAACATGCAGTCTTCTGAGCAGGGGTGAGAGGGCAGTCGATGGAGAGATAGACCTTTGCCCTCCATGGGACTGACTGGAAAACAGGTAGAATTCATTGCCACTGACCCCATGACTGCGTTCCATTGCTGTGCAGTGCGCCTACCCATGGCCTTGGGTGCCATCAAGCATTTGAAAATCAAGAAATCTCAAGTATGAAAATGATGCCCTGAGTGACAGAGGTGCAATCCTTTCCCTGCGACGCCACCACGTTCCCGCTGTGCATGGGTCCATCAATTAAACCACTTTCTCTGCAGATGTGGTCTTTTTTTCGTTTTTTACAGAGAAACCTATGTTTCAAATGAGAGTCTCTCCCAGATACAGAGAACATACTAGCAATTACCAGCGGGGAGAGGCAATATAGGGGTAGGGGATTAAGAGACACAAACTATTAGGTATGAAATAAGCTATAAGGATGTATTTGTACAACATGGGGAATATAGCCAATATTTTATAATAACTGTAAATGGAGCATAACCTTCAAAAACTGTGACTCGCTATACTGTACACCTGTAACATGTAATATTGCTGTCCCCAGTATGAGGATCTTTGGTCATACCCTTCCAGTTCTTTCCCTCCCAACTTGCAATTAAACTGTCCATCTTCCCTGGGGGAATGTAATCTTTGGAAAGACAAGGTGGACTGGCCTGTTTGTTCTGGCATCTGTCCTAAGTGCAGAACCTGGCACTGACTTGGCCCTCAGACTTTTTCGGAAGACTTACTGTCCTTAAGAGAGAAAAAAAAAGCAGATATTCTAGAAGAGTAATATTTCAGTTACTAGCTGGTCTTGAATGAGACGTTAAATTCACAGCTGCCCAAAAAAAAGAAAGTGCCTCAAAGCCAGAAAACCTACTCTTTATTCTGGTGCATAAGCACGAGATATGTAATAGTGACTGTGGGACCTGGTGATGACCCTTTAGTCACCGTTCAGAGAGGTCATCGTTCGTGGGCCTTTATGATGTTGGGGTTAGTAACTGAGACTAGAACTAAAAACCAGGTGATTGTAAGGGCTATCCAGTTAAGGAGCCTAGAAAAAATCTTCACTTTTTAAAAAAAATTTTTAATTCTTAATTTTTATAGAAGTATAGTCAATTTACAATATTAGTTTCAGGTGCGCAGCAAAGCAATTCAGTTATACATATACATAAATATCCTTCTTTCAGATTCTTTTCCATTACAGCTCATTACAAGAAATTGAATATAGTTCCCTGTGCTATGCAGTAGGTCCTTGTTGTTTATCTATTTTATATATAGTAATGTGTATCCATTAACCCTAAACTCCTAACCTATCCCTCCCTTGCCCCCCACCTCCACCTTTCCCCCCAGGTAACCACAGTTTGCTCGGGAAATCTTCTCTTGTGGTTCCAGAAAAGTAAGAAAGAAATTTCAATTTTTGCCACTCTGAATGGATTTTAAAGAGACATTTATTCACAAAAATACACTAAATATTAGTAAGAACAGCAGACAGTCTGGTTTTTGAGCTCTGATTCCCCCCCCTACCTCTAGCTCTGGGTGATGAAAGTAACATTATGAGTGGGTGTATCCAAAAAGAGAGGTTCCCTCTTGCCCCATCTCCCAGTCAAGGACTCCAGCATCACTGCCAGTGGGGCAGGCTGCCAGCCTTACTCACCCACCTCAACTCCACACTGCAAAGGAAAACTTCAGGCAAGTGTGATTGAGAGGCTAGAGACTCTCTCCTCCACCCAAATGTCAATCACAGGGCCAAGGCTCTACCGAAAAACAGCAGGCTGAGGATCCTGGGATCTCCATCAGCCTTGCTCCAGCTTGCTTGTGGTGAAGATTCTCCATGCTGGGAGAGGCAAGCCAAGAAGACCAGAGGCTACCACCCCTGCCCATGCCCTGTTTGTGAAGCAGGAGTGGCATTCTGAGAAAAGTTCTCCACTGTCCTTGCCTGTGGCTCCCAGACTGTGGCTCAGAGATACAGATAAGAAAAGAGGGATTTAAAGTTCTTTCCACAACTTCCTTTGGAACAGAATGGTGGAGAAGTTCATGACTAAGGGCCCTCTTGTAAACAACGGAGATTTCGGTTGTAAGCAATGAAGAGGCGATTGGCAGTTCCATGAAGTCAACAAACTAAACCCTAGGCTTGCTGTCTAACAAAAGAGAACTAGGGAAAGACACAGCTAACTGGAGTCCTCCTGGGGTCCGAACAAAACCTCAAAGCTTGGCCTCAGAAGCAACTCCTGCCTGAATTTAATAGGATCTGATTGTGAGGCAATTTATGTCCCAGGGCACTGTTAAAAACAATAGAATAATCAGCCAGCAACTAGTGGAACCTAACAGCTGGGTGTGATCACAGCAGAGGCAGACAGCTTAACCGGGAGATCAGGGGAAAAGACAGACAAGACAGCCTTGCTGGAAACACTGTTTTTCCAGGGAGATTGGGTTGTATGCTCAAGGAGATGCCCCGTGAGTACCAACATCAGATGCTCTCTGCAGAGATGAAAGACATCACTGAACTAGTCTAACCAAGTCACGAAACAAACAACAAGAAGCCCAGGGCAGGTAATAATCAGTTTTCAAAGCTGGGACAATACAATATATAAAACGTCCAGGTTTCAATAAAAAAAAATTGGACGCATACAATGATACAGGAAAGTGTGACTCACACACAAAATTGCAGGGTACAAAATAAATTTTAAAATGAATTGTATTTCTAAACAGAAACAGACTCACAGACTAGAAAACAAACTTATGGTTACCAGTGGGGGAAGGGGGTGGGAAGGGATAGATTGGGAGTTTGAGACTTGCATATACTAACTGCTATATATAAAATAGATAATAAGTTTCATATTTAAAGGGTACAATCTTTTGATTTTTGACATATGTAACCACCCCAGAAACCTCACTGTTCCCACAATCAAGAGATGAATATATCTATCACTCCAAAAATTTGTGCTCCTTTGTAATCCATTCCTCGCCTCAGCCCCATTCTAGATAACCACAGACCTGCTTTCTGTTACTGTAGACTTCATTCTCTAAAGCTTAATATAAATGCAGTCATACAGTATGGATTCTTTTTTTTTTTTGTCTAGCTTCTTTCATTTAGGATAATTATTTTAAGATTCATCCATGTCGCTGTCTGCATCAATAGTTCATTCCTTTTTTCACTGAGTAGTATTCCATTATGAAGATGTATCATACTTTACTTATTCTTTCACTGTTGTTGGGCGCTGAAGTTGTTTCCAGTTTTGGGCTGTTATAAATAAAGCTGTTAGGAACATTTGTATAAAAATCTTTGTATGGATACATGCTTTTGTTTCTTCTGGGGAGTCCTTGGGAAAGGAATGGCTGAATCCTGTGGTAAGTGTATGTTTAATTTTTTAAGAAACTTCCTAAGATTGGGAACAAACCCAAGTGTCCACTCTCATTACTTTTACTCATTGTACTAGAAGTCCTAATCACTACAATAAGAAAAAAAAAAGCAATAAAAGGCCTACATATTGGAAAGAAAAAAAAACTGTCCCTATTTGCAGATGACATGATTGTCTACTTAGAAAATCCCATGAAATTCACATACACACAAAAAAGATAAATGAGTTTAGCCACATTGCAGGGTATAAGGTCAATACACAAAAATCAATTGCACTTATTTCATAAACTAGCAATGAAAAATTAAAAACTGACATTTAAAAGTACCATTTGTAATAGCTCCAAAAAGGTGAAATAAGAATGAATCTAACAATATATGTTCAGGACCTGTATTCTGAAAAGTATAAAACTAGAATTCTCATACATTGCTGGTGAGAATAAGAAAAAAAAAGATACAAGAACTCTGGAATACAGTTTCTCAATTTCTTGTGAAGTTAAACACACTCTTTGCCATATGACCGAGCAATCCTACGCCTAAGTGTTCATCCTAGAGAAATACAATTTTATGTTTCTATAAAAACTTGTACACAAATTTTTTTAACATTTTTTATTGAGTTATAGTCATTTTACAATGTGTCAAATTCCAGTGTACAGCACAATTTTTCAGTTATACATGAACATACATATATTTATTGTAACTTTTTTTTTCACTGTGAGCTACCACAAGATCTTGTATATATCTCCCTGTACAAATGTTTATAGCAGTTTAATTCATAACTCCCCCAAACTAGAAACCACCCAACATCTTCAGTGCATTAATGGATAAACAAATGGTGCTATGTCCATATAACAGAATAATATTTGTCAATAAGAAGGAACAAACTGTTGATATACATAACATGGATGAATCTCAAAGGCATAACTGGTCTCAAAAATTTCCATACTGTACGATTCCATTTCTATGACATTTTAAAAAAGACAAATCTATAGTGATAGAGAACAGATCAGTGGTTGTCAAGGGCTTGGATGAGGAGAGGTGTGACTACAGTAGGTCAAGAGAGTTTCTGAGGTGAAGAAACTGTTCTGTATTCTGATTGTAGCATTGTTTAATTTATACAAGTGATATTTTGCTGCAAAAGAAATTCCTTACTTTTTTAAAAAACGTAATGTGATTTGAATGATAAATGTTGCCCATCCAAAGAATGTGTCTGCCACATTTTGCTTATCTGTTCCCCTAGTAATAAATATTTGAGTTGCCTCCAATTGCCTACAAAAATGCACAGTAGAATCATATAAATTGCATTTCTAAAGTTTTTGGTATAGAGCAGGAAACAGATTAATTGCCCAATAAGTGATAATTATTTTCAAATAGTAAAAGAATCTGAACAACTGGTTTCCTAGCTCAGGCTCAAAACAGACCTCCCACTCTGACATCACTGCCCCAAACTAGGGTGTGACTACACAGCCACTACAACATCATTGACAAGATAGAGGAATTTTCAGATTCTTACCTTTTTGCAATGCCCATTCTTCTTAAAGTCTTCTGCCTCTCTTCTTGTCTACCCTCCAGAACTTACTGCCTTTTTTCTCCACATCAGCATCAAGTTTAAGGTAATTGATGATGGTTGGTGGTGGTTCGTTTAGCTGTTGGAGAGGAGTGTGTGTGCGTGTGTAGCGGAAGTTTGGCTCACTTCCATAAGCAGTTCTGGAAGGCTCATAACATCAAGTTGCCAGTCACATCTAATGGGTGCTAAGTTATAAAGCGGTTGCAAATGACGCCTGTCCATAAAGTGCTGTCACCTTGTCAGACAGTGCATTGTGTGGGAAACAGTCAAATGTTGAAGTAAGGCAAGCAGATGTGCTGGGGCTATGCTGAGGGGGCTCAGTGGGTGCCAGAGAAGTCAGGAATGGTCTGCTAGAGTTAGCAGTGAGATGTCTAGTGGAGACCTCTAGGGTGGGTAGGTGGGAAGAAGAGATGGAATTTCAGAGAGGAAAGAACACAAACACAACCTGAAGGGAGTAATGAATGTCATGTGTAACGAGAGGCTAAATCCAGGTGGGTGAAGGAGTAGGCGTATGGCAGGGTTATATTTCGCTATGACTGTTGTCTCCCCACACCCCGGTTCTTTGTACATCCCCCTTCTCCCCCAGTCAGTAGGCCTATTACCGTAGAAATGCAAAGAGCCGGAAATACCTTCGTGTTCAGCCTTGAAGTTTCAAACTAGGCTATGTAAATTGAAGTAGAGGTAGATGGAATTCCAAAGGCCCAACCTTTGACTTGTTAGACTTGGAATTTTCAAGTTTCAGTCTAAGAATGAAGGCTTTGTGGCATGATTGTTGCCAAAAAACAATAGATTTGAGAAGAACATATGATAGTGATCTGTATATGGTAGGTGAAAAATTCCAGAGTCTAGGTCCCATTTTTTCCCAAGTACCTTGGCAGAAAAATAAGTCCCTATGAAATTATCTTTTCTCCAGATCTTGGAGGAATTTCACCAGCCGCATGGGATGCCTATGCAGCCTCAGATTCCTGAAGCACCTCAGGGGGCTTTGCGAGCAGTTGGAAGAGGCCCTGAAATAGCTGAGAGGGCCAACAGAGCTTACAGGACCTGTGTGGATGTCCACGAGTGCCCAGATGGGGTTGAAGGTTTTCCAGTGGAAACCAGCAGGAATGGAAGCCAAGTACCAGGCTTCAGTAAGAACTTGATTATGAGCAGCATGAGAGGTGAAAACTAGACAGTCACCTCGTGCACCCCACCAGCACTATAGCAGAGCCCTGGGTGAGGAGAGTGGAAAGGAAAAAAAGCCCTGAATTGACTGAACTTAAATCTGAAGTGACTGAGAAAACCCTGACATGACTGAAGTTTGTACAAACTGGTTAAGTTTCTACCAACCACTAAGTAGGATGTGAGATTGTTATAAACAAAATTATCATAAAAACAAATAACATAAATATTTTATATATTTATATTAAAATATTAGAAAGTTTGCACACTTGAGTTTGTGGCCTGAGAAATGTGTAAATACTGCATAAAACCCTTTGGCATGTGATACATATAATTTTTTAAATATCAGAACAATTCATAGGCCACATTTTTGAAAACTGTTACCCTCCTCCATTCACTCAGGAATGTCTTCTGCAACTGTCTTCAGTGCCATTAAAAAGCCAGTGTCCTATGGGAGACACCTACCCGGCTTTTCTGATTTTTTGTTTTTGATTTTGTGTTTTACCCCAAATAGTATTTACCAGCCATAGCTCTGAATGCTTGGAATTTCCCAGCTTTATATGTCCCCTCACTAAGTTAAATTTTTATTTGTTTGTACTTCCTCTCCCTCTTTGGAGAAATTCACCAAACTGACACAGTAGAGAACGAACTAGATGCCTAGGAACAAAGATAAAGTATTAGCAGGAGTGAGGTTTTACCTCAAAGAATTAGTTAGAACTAGAGAACTTTCTAGAAAGAACGGTCACTATACTGTGACCAGACTTCCCTGCCCTTTGTGAGAGGGGTCAACAGTTTGCATTAAAAGCCTCTCCTCCCACCCCCATTGTAGTTTACTGTATGTCAATTAAGCCTCAACACAGCTCTTTTTTAAAAAAAAATGAAAAAAGTCTGTTCCCTTTACTCTACCTTTTACTTTGCTCTGTACATTTACAGCTCCTATATCACTGGAGTCTTTTACAATAACATAGACTTTGTGTATTCTTGAGTAATAAGTAAATATATAAGCATAAGAATCTGAAAAAGAATCTCCGCACGCAATAGTTCTAGGCCCACATTCCTCATACTCTACTGAGCCCCAGCTCCCTCCTAAGTTCCCCTGTCCACTGACGAGGCACTGAGTAGGCAGCAGAGGTGGGAAGGAATGATGTGAAGTGGACAAGGGACAAACAGGACAGAGGGAGATGGGGCCCATTATAACTGAAGAATTAGGGTCTGATTTTTCTCATTCTGCCACACTTCCCAGGGAACCCCAAAGCAGATGACTCTGGCCTTAAGAATTGGGTTAGGAATATTCTGGAGGCAGATAATGTTAGTCTCTTGTCCAGCTGGCAAGAGAAGGGAGCCCATTAAAATGAAAGAAAAACCAGACTCTGGGTCAAAATATCTAAGTTCTGGTCTTGGCTCTGCCCATAGCTATGTAAGTGTGAGAAATTCACTGTGCTTTTCGAGATCTCTGATTCCCTTCTTGCAAAATGTGTAGGTTGGAGAAGATGGATTTTGAGGGCCCTTTCAGCATTATAACTCCACTTCTAGTCTTGAGGCATACACAAATCACAGCAGAAACTTTATTAGAAATATCAAATACATCCACAGAAACTCTCTGTTCCTCAGATCTCCACCTGTTCCTCAGCCTGCTGATGACGTCAAAAGAGGTGTCCAGTGACTGGGACCAGAAGCACCTCCTCAACGGACAAGCAGCTGCAGCAGCAGCAGCAGCAGCAGCAGCAGCAGCAGTAGCTCTAACCTCCGAGGTGAAGTGGGAGGCCACATGGCTGCATTTTCAACCTTTCGGGGAGTGAGAGTCTTGAACGGACATACTTCCTTCAGCCACATGGGGCCTACTGTGTAGACCCCAGACATCAGCCTGCAACCAGTTATGGATGTACAGCCTTTGATCTCCAAAGGTGTGTTGAGGCCTCCTATGGAACAAGAAAGATGGGGAGACACATAGATATTTTACGAAATCAGAGAGGAATCCCATCTTCCCTATTCCCAGGACCCTGAGTGACAGAATCTTTTGGGCTACACTCAGATGTCTCACTTTTTGGCCTCTGAAACCATCAGATATTCAATTTACCTCCAGTGACCTGAAGTTTTCCTTGATAGCATCGATTTGTACCATTGGGACAGGGAAGAGAAGGAGCATTCAAACAGGTCCCCAAAGCCACACAGGTTGGGCAGAAGAGGGTTGCTGACTCGCTGGAAGCTGAAGGGGGAAAGAGAGGGACAATTAAGAGTGAGGCCTGCCTCTAGCGTTGTCTCTCCTTGCTGCCTTCACTTCCTTGAGTCTTCCCTGCTGGTGCCACTCTAATCAAGGCCTATTACTACAACCTCCCCACCATCTCCAGCTGAACCCAACATGACTTCCAAAGTCTGTGCTTGGGTGTGGAGCTACAGAAATGAAAAGGACACAGTTCCTGCCATATAGGGTCATTGTCTTGATGGAGACAGACATGTAAGTAATTAACTACAATACAACTCAGTAGGCATGGTGTCCAAGGTGTAGGGGCAAAGAAATGGTGGAGTACCTAACTACCTAAAATAACTCAGTTAAGTATTTTCACACAGCTGACACCTGAGTTGAGATGGAGGATGAACAGAGGTTAGCTATGTGAAAATGGGGGTTGGGTGAGGGTAGCAAAAGAAACAACAAGGACAAAGGCCTGGCATTGGGAACCAACTTGATGGATGGATTGGGGAATTGTGAGAAATTGCAGTGCTGATATTCATCTGGTGGGCACAGGTAGGGCTGGACTGTTTTTTATAGCCAGCATCCATTCTGACTGGTTAAATATTTTGAATCCTAGCCCAGCTAGAACACGGTAAATGAGAGTGGGAAGAGAAGGCAATGAGCTGAGAAGATAGACAGGGCCAAATTACTATAGGCCGTGGGGACAAATGGGGGAACTGGGCTGGGGTCATGCAGCAATGGGGAAGCAATAGCTGTTAGACTGCTGGTGCCACCGCCCTGCTCAGAAACCTCTACTGCTTAATAAACACAAAACCCAATTTACACTCCAGCCTTTACTGAGTTCCCTCTGCTCGGAGCAGTTTATGGAACTCAAGGTGACAATTTAGAAGAAGAAAGACGGGCATAAAGGTCTGAGGTCCTTTTGTCTGTGGCCCACTTGGACCTAAGCCAAGTAAGAACACAAAGAAAGAAGACCTACCATTTTTCAGGGGTGCAGAGAGTTCCTCTTAGCACCCGTCTCTCCCCTCCCAAGGTACCTGGGGTCTCTTCTGGACTCCATATCTCATATAAGTCCTTTCTGTTGTTGCAAAGGGGCTCCTCACAGTAGTTACTGTAGGAGACCACGAATATGCCAGGGGGTGGAGCGTGCTGGACAAACAGTATTTCTGGTGTCCCCTCCGAGCTGCAGCCTTTAGTGGCCAAAATTACTGTGTTGATTCCTGCAGTGAGATAAAAGGGAAGAAAAGTGGGTGGGGGGCCTAAAGTTTGACCTGGGCAAGGGGGAAACAGCATTAATATGGACATAATCACCTCCCCACCTCAAACCCAAATGCCTTTTTCGCATTTACCTGATTTAATCATTAGCACGGTTTCCTGGCACAGTGCCCCATTGTCACAAGTCTCAACTTTCTCTGTGGTCCAGTTAAAGGTGTCTCTTGGATCCTCTTCTATACCCTTGAATGTAGCCTTTTGACATTTCAAATTTTGTACTAATGGGGAGAACATGAGATAAAGATAAGAATTTGCCCTTCTCTGTGGGCCCCAAAATCACTGCTTTCTCACTAGCAATCTATCCTCTGTGACCCAGCTGCCTCCCCCAACTGCCCCAGTACATACAGGTCAAGGTCGGAGCTCCTAGGAGAAAGAGGAGCAGCAAACCCTGGTTATAGCAGGTCCCCATGGCTTCTTTTAGAGACGTTTGGAAGAACTGATCAGGATCTGTGATTTGATGGAGAAGAAACTTTTCAACCAGATGGAATGACGTTAAATCTAGGTTCTGGCAAGTACTGACTTCAGGACAGAGCTCATGGGCATGTAAAACGATGACGTCTAAATTCAATCTGTCCCTGTCTAGCTTGTGAGTTCAAGAAAGTTAACTAGTTAACAAGCCTCAGTTTCCTCAGCTGTAATTCTCATACACAGCCACCTAGACCAAGGGGTTCAACGGCCCAGTGCCCTGCAACCTCAGGATCCATAAGTCTGGCCCAAAGGCTCCCTCTCCCTCAGACTCGGGCGTCCAGGTTCAAACCTATGCTCTTTTGAGGCCCAAGTAGCTCAGTCCCCAGCCCCCAACTTTATCAGAACCTGGGATTCTGAAATCCCACGCCTGTCCGGCCTAGGGTTCCAGTCACCTTTTCTGGCAGGACACATGATTTTGGGCACCCAGCCTCTCCGTCTCTCAGACCCGCGAGCTTAAGGCCCCAGCCCCTCACCCCTTGCCCCTCCCCCACCCCCCGCTCAGATCCAGGAGTCCTAGTCCCCAGCCTTCTTTTTCCTCAGGACCCAAGAATCTGAGTCCCCAGGGCCCTTTTTCCCTTAAAGGGACCAAAATCCTTCCTGGCTTCCAGATGATCTCACAAAAATCTCACGGTGCTGAAGGAACGGCCTCGAACGCCCCACTCGCCCAACCTGGCCTTCACCTACAGTCTCCTCAGGGCACGGGAGGCGGGGCCTATTTACCGGACAGATCATTCGAAGCCCCATTGGTCGACTGGAAAGCATCTGATGAGCTCATTGGATGAGCCTAGAGGAACGCCACACCGCATTGGCCCGGGAGAGGCCTATTCCTGGCAATCTTGGAAGGTACGCACGCGCGGAATGGCAAGCGGCCGGTAAACTGGGCGGCCGAGCACGCAGTTGTCTTTGCAGCACGAGGCATGCGGCGCGGGGCAGGCAGTGTGTCCGCAAATGACCTGATTTAATTGGGCTATGGCATCTCAACTTCTCCAGCCACACGAGGAGGTCACACCCTTGGCCTTCATCCCCTGAACGTTTCTCCCTGCCTAAATTGCGTCTCGCGCTTCCAGCCTGGCCCCTGCCCCAGCCCCGACCCAGTGGTCATAGCCATAGCCAACTTGGCCTCCTTGCCCTTCACTTGCAGTGGTTTCTGCTTAGCCCGGGCCTCATCCTCTGAACACATCATGGCACCAGCCCCTCCGTGGTCTTCTGGAAGACTAAAGGAAGGAATGCTGGCCTCAGTGTTACTTTAAGTACCTGAATGACAGATTGCTGCCTTATCTAACACACATGCAGGTGCCAGTACCGTGAACAAGATATGTCATTCAGATTTCCTGTTCGTGGCTGAAAATCCTATTTTATATATATACATACATACATATATATACATTCACACACACATACACATATACAAACATATGTATACATATATATGCTTTCTAGATGTAACGTGAAGTAAAAATGCTCTTTGTGTTCTTTCAGACTTAGTACTGTTTTTGTGAGTTCTACAGTATAAAGGAATATATATTTTTAATAGAGAAAATGCCACAATAAGAATGGTGTTGGTACCAGAAATTGACACAACATTGTAAATTGACTATACTTAAATTTAAAAAAAAGTTAAAAAGAAAAAGAAGGGAATAAAAGAATCCATGTTCTAAAATTTTTTTTAAAAAGAGTGATGCTGGTAAAACTCTTAATTTTATGTAAAAATATTTAAGAACTTTCAACTGGGGCTGTTAATATTAAGAATATAATTATTAGTATTATTATTAACATAAATAGTCACAGTTAATATATATGCTAAGAGGTAGTTCTAGTCCCAAAGACTCTGCTATCCCTCAGGACCCGGGGCTCGGAGCCACCCTTCTTTTCAGAACTCAGGCCTCCAGCTCTCACTTCCCATGATGTGTAATAGTATGTGGTTTTCCTGGGTCAGTGTGTAACTATAAGTGTGGGGCAAGGTCTCAGTTCTTGGCTACAATTGCCAATGCAGGACCAGTGGGTTAGGGGGAACTGGAGGGCAGAGAGGGTGGTTGGAAGCTACATATTCACCTGCTTCGAGCTCCAGAGTCTTGTTTCAGGCTCCTCGTCCTTTCCCATCTCTCTGACTAGCACTTGCCCTGCCTCTTCAGTCCTAACCCCACAACTGGCTTCAAGCACCTGTAGTGAAGTTCATCTTATTTTTTTTAATTTTTTTATTGAAGTACAGTCAATTACAATGTGTCAATCTCTGGTGTACAGCACAATGTCACAGTCATGCACATACATATGTATATTCGTTTTCATATTTTTTCCATTAAAGGCTATTGCAAAATATTGAACATAGTTCCCCGTGATATACAAGAGAAACTTTTTTAAAAATCTATTTTTATATACAGCAGCTAACATTTGTAAATCTCAAACTCCCAAATTTATCCCCTTCCACCCCCTTTCCCTGGTAACCATGAGATTGTTTACTAAGTCTGCAAGTCTGTGTCTGTTTTGTAGATGAGTTCATAGTGTCTTTTTTTTTTTTTAGATTCCCCATATGAGTGATACAATATGGTATTTTTCTTTCTCTTTCTGGCTTACTTAGTATGATGATCTCTTGGTCCATCCCTGTTCCTGCAAATGGCATTATTTTATTATTTTTATGGCAGAGTAGTATTCCATTGTAGAAATATACAACTTCTTTATCCAGTCATCTGTCAATGGACATTTAGCTTAAATAGACTCTTGGCTTTTTAATTAGTTTGCTGGGGCTGCTGCACAGACTGAGAGGCCAGAAGTCCAAAATCAAAGTATCAGTAGGGTTGGTTCCTCCTGAGGGCTGTGAGGGAAGGGTATGTTCCAGGTCTTTCTCTATGGCTTGTAGCTTGCTGTCTTCTCCTTGTATCTTCATATCATCTTTCCTTTATGCTTGTTTCTGTGTCCAGTTTTTCCCTTAGTATAAAGATACCTGTTATATTGGATTAGGGTCTGCTGTAACGACCTCACTAAAACTTCATTATGTCTGTGAAGATCCTATTTCTAAACAAGGTCACTTTCTGGGGTATTGGGGTTTAGGACTTCAACATACGAATTCGGGGGCAATTCCCCCCATAAGAGCATGTTAGAGAGACTTGTGTGCAGATGAAGCAGTGAGTGCAGAACAGCGAGCCCTGCAGGGGCTTCCTGCTACCATTTTGTGAAGTCTTCTGCATTAGTGTCATTCCCAATGGAGACTTTGCTTTCCATGGTGGCTACCTTGATGGCTGGTGTTGGGAGGGTGTGAAGATGTAAGATTGACGGGGTGTCCCCGGAGCGAGTCAAGGGCTCGGAGGCTGACTCGGGGATTGAAAATAGGCCAGAGCAGTGAGCTGAATTCAGGGTTCCCTGTTAACACAAGGTGTATATAGTGCATCCCAGTGGGTGAGTGTGCAGAGGGAACACCCCTTTCTACCAAAGCCTACTCACCTGACTCTGTTATGAGAAGAGTAAGAATCAGATCTGATTCTTCAGCGGTGGGGAGAGGCAGCCATGGGATATTTTCTGCCTTCAGGCTTACCCTGTCTTTGACATCTTTGAATGATTCCACGTCAAAGAATCTGGGAAGAAATTGCCCCCATTCTCAGCCCATGTCTGCCCCTCCAGGTCCCAGGCTTGGGAAGATGATTACATTCTTGAGTCATACTCCAGGCGACCTGGCCACAGTGTCCCTCAATCTCAGATTTAGAAAGAACCTTGAAAGTGTAAACCCCCCTTTTTCACCCAATTTCTGTTTTTTTTTTCCTAATTGAAGCACAGTCAATTTACAATGTTATGTTCATTTCGGGTGTACAACATAATGATTCATTTATATATGTCTGTATGAGTGTGTCTCTGTGTGTATCCTTTTTATATTCTTTTTCATTATAGGCCATTACAAGGTATTGAATATAGTTCCCAGTGCTATGTAGTAGGACCTTGTTGTTTATCTATTTCATAATTAGTAGTGTGTATCTGCAAATCCTGAAATGCCAGTTTATCCCTCTATCCCCTCTTTACCCCCTGGTAACCATAAGTTTGTTTTTTATATCAGTGAGTCTGTTTCTGTTTTGTAAATAAGTTCATCTGTGTCATTTTTCTAGATTCCACACATAAATGATAACATGTATTTTTCCTTCTCTTTCTGGCTTAATTCACTTAGTACAACAATCTCCAGGTCCATCCATTTAGCTGCAAATGGCATTATTTTATTCTTTTTATGGCTGAGTAGTATTCCACTGTGTGTATATGTGTGTGTGTGTGTGTACACCACGACTTCTTTATCCAGTCATCTGTTGATGGACATTTAGGTTGCTTCCATGTCTTGGCTATTGTATATAGTGCTGCTGTGACCATTGGGGTGAATGTTTCATTTCGAATTAGAGTTCCCTCTGGATATATGCCCAGGAGTGGAACTGCTGGATCATATGATAAGTCTGTTTTTAATTTTTAAAGGAATCTTCATACTGTTTTCCATATTGGCTGCACCAAACTACATTCCCACCAACAGTGTAGGAGGGTTCCCTTTTCTCTACACCCTCTCCAGCATTTATTGTTTGTGGACTTTTTAATGACGGCTATTCTGACTAGTGTGAGATGATACCTCATTGTAGTTTTGATTTGCATTTCTCTGATAATTAGCGATACTGAGCATTTTTTCATGTGCCTATTTGTCATTTGTATGTCTTCATTAGAGAAATGTCTATTTAGGTCTTCTGCCCATTTTTGGATTGGATTGTTTGTTTTTTTGTTCTTGGGTTGTATGAACTGTTTGTATATGCTAGAAATTAAGCCCTTGTCAGTCACATCAATTGCAAATATATACTCCCATTCTGTAGGTTGTCTTTTGGATTTGTTTATGGTTTCCTTTGCTGTGCAAAAGATTATAAGTTTAATTTATGTCCCATATGTTTATTTTTGCTTTTATTTCTATTGCCTGGATAGACTGCCCTAGGAGAACATTGCTATTATTTATATGAGAGTATGTTTTGCCTATGTTCTCTTCTAGGAGGTTTATGGTGTCTTGTCTCATGTGTAAGTCTTTAAGCCAGTTTGAGTTTATTTTTGTGTATGATGTGTTCTAATTTCATTGATTTACATGTTAAATCAGAGCTTTTATTTCTCCCTTCTGGGAAACAGTTGCTAAACATTTACCAGCACATCACGGGTGTGCTTGGCTTTGTGTTCAAGTGTGGATTTATGTAGAAGGGAGCTCTCTCCTCCTGTTTCAGTATTGAGTCTTTTCATACCAATTATATAGGAATGAAGTGTGTGTCACCCCCTAGATGTAGAGCATTTGTGCAGTGCACACCGTGACCTAGATTCACAATGGCCCTGACTCCTTGTTATCTGTTGTCACAACAAATGATATGTATAAAATACATAATTACTCCCAACTCCTGCACCATCCTATGTGGTTTCCCTGGATCCAAACTTGCCAACTGTAAACAGCAGTTCCTTTAACAGATTTTACTCAAGTTACCCAGTTTGGGTGTACCATTCATTTCCTGCTGGACACCTGACCAATTCAATAATTAGGATCAGAAGTGGCACCCAGAAACAAACCAACAAAATTGTATTCTGGGATCACGTCTCCATCACATAGGAGAAGCATAGGGGAAGCATGCGATAATTTCACAGTTGCTCAAATTAGCACTGGTCGTAGCAGTGAAAGAAGTGTAGGTGAAGCAAGGTTTGGGGAGTTGAAGAGGGTGTGGCACTTTGTCACTGTGGCAACAGTGGTGCCTAGGTTGATTGTGGAGCCAGCTGGTTTCTTCGGATGACCTTAAAGAGCAAACATGGGGAAAAGGAGCAACTGAAAGATGAGGCTGTCCAAATGGAAACGTGATGGACAATCAGAAAGCTTCCTTGGCAGAGCATCCCTTGTCTCCTGTAGTCACAGAGCAGATAGGGCTGAGGACCAAGCCCAAAGGTGAGGGAAGTGTTTACAGAGTTGCACTGCCAGGTAAATGTTCAACCCTGCCAGTGTGTGCTAAGGGAAAGGCGCTGGTGGGGAAAGGAGTGTGATCCTCAGACATGAGATAGAGTCCCCATAGGGGAAGGCTTGTCCTCCACACCCACAAGAGTGAGTTTCCAACATAGTCCAGAGAAGCACAGGGCTTGGTCTGCCATGAGCATGCCACATACTGAGAGCGTTACAGGACTTCACCCACATTCACTGGCAGGAGTCCCGGAGCATGTGCATGAACAGATTCTATGCCATTTATTCACTGATTGCCTCTCAACTCCACTCTTTACTGCCCTGCTGAATCTTGCAAGCATTTTTCGTCTCCCTGGCACAATGCTAGGCTTTGCCAGTAGAGGGTGCCAGAGGGACACTGCAGAAGGAAGCGCTTGTCTTGCAGCCCTGGGTATAGAGACTGCTCCCTAGATCTGCTGTTCCCTATCCTTTTAAGTCCTCTTTACCCCTTAGTAACCAATCCCTTCTTAATCCTAGTCCTCTGTTACTAGTTAATGATTCTTTATATTGAACTTTCCCTGTTAAAATTAGTTCGTGATTTCTGACTCCTGCCTGGACCCTGACTGATACAGATTCTAAGGATGTGAGACCAAATGGGATCAAGAGGAAGGCTTCATGGGGCCAAATTCTTTTACATGGGTTATAGGATTGAAGGTATTGGTTCACGTATCCAGGAAATATTACTAGTCTGCTAGGTTAATGAGTTAATATCTGGGCTCAATGCTAGAACTTCTCTGGCATATCGGAGAGAAATAGAGTCCCAAGTTTGGGGACCCGGGAAAGCTGGAATGAGTTTGTCATGAGCAGCCTCCTCAGTCACATCCTTATCCTATCCCCTGGGGAGACATTAAGAACAGAGGAGGGGACATCAAGAGCTTGGTCGTGGCTCACCTCTGAGGTAGAAGATGCTTATGGGAATTGCTGGAAAAAGAGGACTTGGGAGTGGCCAAGTGGTGACACTGGGTATGCAGAGACAACATGGCCCCAATCACTGGAACAAGCCACAGAGCAAAAATGTCATCAGAGTGTTTTGAGAGGCAGGAATCTGTGGTGAAGCTAAATGACCAAGGGGTCCCTAAAAGTGCAGGAAATTTTCTAGCTCTGATGGAAACATGGGTCACCATGATGAGAATTTGTGACTTCTTTTTGTTTTTAATGGAGGTACTGGGGATTGAACCCAGGACCTTGTGTATGCTAAGTATGTGATCTACCACTGATCTAGTTCCCAGACCAAGCTAGTTCATAGACCTTGAACCCCATGAATGAGTGGAGAAGCTGGGTCTGTTTGAGAAGGACCCTGTAATGCAACCATGGGTGTAGACAGTGAATCTTCCGTTACACCAGAAAGACTGGGTGTCATTTATCTGGAAGAGTTGAGCACTGGTTAAAGGGAAATAAGTGCTCAGACCCTGGGAATATTATTTGGATGATGGGTTTTGGTGGACGCTTATTGCCGCAGTGAGCAAGGTCATGGTGTAGAAGGAATTTTGGCTCAAGTCTCCTTCCCAATGGGCCTCATAGGACCACAGACTCATCCTGTTATTTATGTCATCCCAGAATGTATAATAGGAATAGGTAACTGGAACACCTCCCACCCCACCCCCCCGTAGGTTCCCTGACCCATGGAGTGAGGGCTATTATGGTAGGAGAGACCAAATGGTGTTTCTCATCTGGTTTCTGGGGTTTTTTTTTTTTGTAGGGAGTGCAGGTAATTAGGTTTATTAATCCTTACAAAGCACCATCAAATGAGATGTGCCTATATTCAGGCCCCCGAGAAGCACAGAGAGATGTCCTCAGGTCCACTACTGCATGGACCTATGGTGAACCACTTGGTTAAGTACTTGGAAAGAATTAAAGCAAAAAATGAAGACAGAGAAGATATGAGAATGGTCCTCTGCAGTTGGGCACAGACTGTGAAGATGTTCACATCACACAGGAATGCCCACCGGAACTCATTCCCTGAGCAGGAAGCTCTTGGTACCCAGTGGACAGTGTCAGACAGCTTCTTTTCCATCGGTGCTTGCTCACTGAGCCCATGTGTAAAATGGCCATGTGGGTGGTGGAGACACCACGCTGTGTCAACAAATGGGCTCACTCTCCTCAAGGTGACTGGCCTGCTGACTGTGCTCAGTGCCCAAACCAACAAAGGCAGAGGCCAACCCTCAGCCTGGAAATACCCCATGCTTGAGGGGACTGAGCTTTTCCCGCACAGAGATAGATACATACTGCAGGTTCTGGTTTGCCTGCCTTGTACTCAGGGCTTCTGTCAACACTGTCATTTGGGATCTTAGAAGATGTCTGTTCTGTTGCTGTAGTATCCTATGAAGTATTGCTTCCAACTAGGAGACGTATTTTAAGGTAAACGAAGTGAGGCAATGAACTCACACCCATGGAGCTCACTGATCTTCCCAGGTGCCCCACTACACAGAGACAGTTGGCTTTTCGGAAGGGTAGAGTGGCCATGATGGCTTATGAGGGCACCAGGAGAGAGGCAGTACCCTGCCACCCAGAAGGAGATGCTGTATGACTCGAACCAGTGGCCAGTCTATCATGCCATCTCTCCCATAGCCAGAATGCAAGGGGAGGGTAAGGGAGTGTCCCCTCCCACTAGTATACCTAACAACCCACTTAAAGAATTTTTGCTTCTGGTCTCTGTACTTTGGGCTTGGTGTGGGTGAGGAACCCCATCATAGCTCTAATCAGTTGGAAGCCAGGACTGCCCCCTTGCCATTTTGTGCTCCTCGTGCCGCTGAAACAGTGGACAAAGAAGAGGGCCACTCTGCTGATCGCCAGAGGGGATCTGACTACCACAGAGAGGTTGGCTTGCTGGGTCAAGGAGGACTATGAAAGCCAGGGGACACATTGGGGGTAATATTTCCTCTGCCCATGGCCATGTTCATCAGAAAGTGGCCAACAGCCAATAAGGACAAGATCGTCAAACACTCACTTCCCATAAGAATGAAAATTTGCATCACACAATTGTCCAGAGAAGGTGTTGGCAGCTGGTAAGAAAACAGAATGGGTGGTAGAAGATGGCAGCTCTGATTACCACCAGTTATACACTTCGCAGCTTTGGTTGATGTTTTTTCCCCATCTTCCTCTCACTGTGGTACATAAAGAATTGGTCATCTAATGCTGTGGGTGTATGATTCCTTGATTGGTGTAGTGCACCATAATTAAGTAATGGATGTGAATTGTGTGTCTTCTATGTTAAGGACTCTGATTTTCATCTGGACGAAGGAAAGGACTCTTCTGAACACTTTCTGCTTCCTTCTCTGGATTCACTGTCTCCCCTTCTCCCCTTGTGGGAACTGCCAATGAGCTCTCCTGCCTCCCAGCTGTGTTCAGTCCACAGGGAGCTCCAGTAGGAGACCAGAGGGAGGACACTGACTGATAGTGGGGTACTAATTCCCCAGCTCCCTCCCTGCAGTATCACTGTAGACTGGAAAGATTTTCACCTGACATCACATCTCCTGTCAAGCAGCCCTCTCTAAACACCAATCCCTCGAGATTCTAGTAATAGCAATGACCTCTCCTCAGCTTTTCAGGCCTATGATGATGACAGACCCAATGATATCAGCCTCAGGAAACTGTGCAAACCCTCTTGTTTCTCTGCTTCATACCAACCCTTATGTCAAGTTATTCAAGTGGGGTGAGCCCCCTGTTTGTGCTGGGGTAGAAGCCTCATTGGTCATGATGCACCTTCACCTCCCAAGTCACAGTGATACCCAAGTACTTTTGGCTGCAGCATCCTGATGGCTCTGCTGCCACCAAGCTAGTCCAATGGGGATGTGGACCAGACCAGTGAAGGAGCATCCTGAGATGGTGAATCTCTCGCCAGATTCCTCTCCTTCTTTGTGCCAGATCTCTGGTTGTCCTGCCCTCCCCTCACATAGAGAAAACCCAGCATTTAGGGAAAGGACAATGTCTTTATTATCACTCACATGTGGCCACTGCTTGACTGTCCAGTCACCCGTGGGGCAAGTTCTGCTGCTTCCAGACCTTTCCATATGTTGTCATCAGGTCATATAGTATGTGATGGGGGGCGGGGCATGGGGGTGGATGATAATTCGTGTAGAGGATGGGGAAATAATTCAGTGTCCAAGACTGTTTAGTTATGAGGTCAGAGGGAGGGCTGGGAACTGGGGGTCAGCAGGAGCTAAGAATCATGAGAAAATGGGATGAGCAGGGAGGGCGCTCCACACCACAGGGCTAGAGATAGCCCCAGCCCTACCACCCAAGCCAGGTAGGGGGCAGGAGCAGCTCCAGCTGGGAGTAGAAACTCATTCTAGAGGCTCATTCTCATCATCACGCTTCTCAGCCACGGAAATGACCCCAATATTCTGAATACGGTTCAACAAGGAGCTGGAAGGTTGAGCCACGCAGCCCTGAACGTTCAATGAGATGCTCAGCCCACCTAGAGAATGAACATGGAGTCAGAGAGGGCTCAAATTTCCCCACACTTAAATTCCTGAACCCTAGGACTCCTAGACACCCGTCTCCCGCCTCAGACCAGGAGATCAAGCTAAGAGCCTGATCCTCCCTCAGACCTAGAACACCTGGGTCCCCAGCCCCTTCTCCCCATAACTCAGAGTCTCAAACACCCTCCCACCTGAGGACCAATGAAGCCAGGCCCCAGCCCCTTCATCCTTGGGACCTGACCCGCAGCACTCACCTCCCTGGAGAGCAATGTAACCCTTGTAACAGTGAGTGGTGCCGCTAGGGCACCTAACAGTTTCAGAGTTTTCTGGGCAGGATCCAAAAAACGACACACAGGTTGGACAGTGCAAGTCTCCTGAGGCAGGGGCAGCTGGAAAGCAGAGAGAAGGTTGGGGTGCACAGCTCTGCTCTTAGCAGCAGCCACCCTCCTGGACCCCCAGAGTCTGTGTCTCTGGGGCCCCACCTCTCCATACCCCTGGTCCCACCCAGCCCGCTGGGATCCCGTACCTGGACGAGGGAGGGAGTTCAAGAGGACACTGCTGCTGCTGGCGCTGTTGCACCCGTCAGAGGAGCAGAACCGGGCATAGGAGGCAACGAGCACTCCTGGGGGTCTCGAGTGTATGGAGATAGGCTGGGAATCCTGTGTCCTGGCTTTGCTGCAGCCTTTGCTCCCCACTAGGAGTGATTTCTGTCCTGAGAGATGAGAGAGTGAAAGCTGCGCTGGGGGAGGGGCAAAACCAGGGATTCCTCAGTGCTCAGCAGGCGGAGGGGGACGCCGGTCCCCCCAATGCAAGAGCACAGGTCCTGCTGAGTGCAGGGTGAAGACTGGGGCCAGAGCTGCCTCCCAGATCTGCCACCTCTCAGTTCTTGCTCAAATGTCACCTTCTCAGTAGAGCATCCCCTGAGCACCTGTTTTCAAATTGCAACCTTTACCTCACTCTCCCTATCTCCTTTTCCCGCTGGATTTCTTTCCATAGCTCTTATCTTCACACCCGTATCTTACTCTTTTTTTTCCTCCTGCTTCCCCACTGGCAATAAAGCTGCAAGAAGGCAGATGCAGTGGGATCTACAGCATCTAACACAGTGCCTGGCACATAACAAGTCGCTCATTAGACCTTGGATGAAGTCATTGAGTTTACTTTGTGCGAGCTCTGTTCTTAGCCCTTTGCCTGGACCATCAGATATATCCCAGCAACTACCCAGCAAACTATTATTGCCATCACCTCACCCCTAGTTTTCTGAAAGGGAAACCAAGGCACAGAAAGAGGAAGAGTTGAGTTTAGAACTGCTGGGATGAGGAGAACCAGGCAGGAAATTCAGGAGAAAGAATCCAGGGTAGGGAGACCCAGGACCCCGTGCAGGGGTCTTGCTCTCCTGCACAGCTCACGCACCTACATCTATGAGCAGAAGTGTCTCCTGACACACTTCCCCAGGATCACACAGCTGCTTCCCATTCGAGGTCCATTCAACCGGTTCCTGAGCCAGGTTTACAGAAGTCCGCAACATGACTCCCCGATGACAGGACAGAAGAGCTGTGGACAAAGAATTACCAGGGTCTTTGTAAGCCAGGGATCAGCTGTGTCTGTCCTTCCAGGGTCCTGTGCTTGGGGAGATCACACTGTTAGTCACACTCCAAGCAATCTGGCCATTGAGTCCCTCAGTCTCAGATTTAGAAGGGACCTTGGAAGTCTGAGCCCCACCCCCATTCTTTACCCTACCTTTTTTTTTTTAATGGAGTTACTGGGGATTGAACCCAGGACCTTGTGCATGCTAAGCGTATGCTCTACCACTGAGCTATGCCCTCCCCTCCTTTACCCTGTTTTTGCTTGAACACCTGCAGCGTCCTTTCTCAACCCCTCTTGAGGACAGCTGTTCTTCCCTGAGGAAATGAGAGAGACAGATGGCTCTTCCTTAGCCTGGACCAATCTCTGCTTCTCTCTCTGGGCCTCAAAGTCCTTATCTGGACATTGAGGAGGGTAGCCTGACATCATATATTCCTTTTAACTGAGAAATCCTGTATTCCAAACAAAAATACTCAAATGCCTTGTGTGCGCTAAGCATTTACTGTGTTTCCAGCTGCCATGATTACTTTCCATGGATTAACCCATCTAAGCCTGCCAAAGAGCTCACCTCACCTGGATTGCCTCATTTCCTCACAGCGACCCCCTCCCTCTGCAAGTAGACGATGTCATCATCATCATCATCATCCCCATTTTCAGGCTGGCAAACAGAGGCAGAGGAGTTTTTAAGTGGCTTGCCCACTGTCCCTGCTAGCTAGCCATTGGCAGAGCTGGGCTCAGAACTCAGGCATTCTGGCTCCCTGGGGTGAATGATGGGGAATGGAGGGATGGATGTCCATCCTGAGCCACTTTAGCCCCTGTGGCCCTCGGGAGTCTAGTTGGGAAACCATTAGACCTTCTCTTAAGGCCAGCACACAACCAGCCGTGATGTATCCCATGATGCAGAAACCCCAGGGCTGACCATGCAGCACCCACAAATGTGTAACCTTCACAACAGCCCCTGAGAAGGCGGGCCACTCATTTCCCCACTTCACGGATGACAAAATCATGGCTCCCGCTGTCCTCCCAGCCTCGTCCCCTATCTCCCCACCCACCCCATCTTCCCCAGCTTGTCAAAGGCAACCTCCTTTCCTACAGTTGCTCAAGTTGAAAACATTGCTGTCATTCTTGACAATTCCCTTTCTCTTACACCCCATGTTGCGCCCAGCAGGAAATCCTGTTGGCTGAAGCTGCAAAATACCCCCAGAACCTACCCACTTCTCCCCACCTCCACTGCTTCTACCAGGGTCCAAACCCTGAGGCTCTCACCTGCTTCCTCCTGAGTCTCCCTGGGGGTACCCTCCCCCATGCCCACCTCCTCTTTACACTATTCTCCAATCAGCAGCTAGAAGGATGCCCATAAAAAGAAAGACTTCAATAGATCCTCATCCCACTTGGAATAAAATTATAAGTCCTTAAAATAGCCCCAAAGGCTCTGCGGGATCTCCGCTCCCACCCACCCCCTGCCAACCTCTCCAACCACAAGTCCTGCTCTGCTCCTGCCTAATCACTCTGCTGGAGCCACACTGACCTCTGGATTCTTCACTGAATGTATGGCAGGCACAAACCCACCCCAGGTCCTTTGCATATGCTCTGTCACCCCCAACAGTCTGGGATCATCGCCTTCTTCCTGAACTTGGTGAAAGAGGCTCAAAGAGGTGGTAATCCTCAAAAGTTGATTTAGCAGCAGAGCCTGGACAGAAACCCACATCTTTTTTTTTCCTAAGTTTTATTGAGATATAATTTACACGCCATAAAAACTACCCACTTATACAACTTAACAATTCTTAGTAACGTATAGAGTTGCACAACCACCACAACAATCCAGTTGAAACCCACGTCTCTCTGATTCAGACACTAAGCTCTTAACTCCCATGCTCTCCCTGATTGTGACCACCCACTGCTGTCACTGGGATCATCATCCAATTCCTTAGGAAGGCAGTCATGGCTATATAAATTCCAGCTCTTTGGTTCTTCTTCAATATGGGCTCCTGCAGTGGCCCATTTGGGGCAATCTGGGCTCTTGCACCCAGTCCTCTCCCACCCCCACGCCTTCCAGAATCTGTTCTATCTCCCAGGGATGCCCTTCTGTCCTCCACTTATTCCCTACTATCCTTTTTTTTTCCTCTGCCATCTTATTGTACCCCAGCTTCTGATGCCTGGCCTTGCTGATGCTCGATAAATATTTACTAAGCTACTGAGCTGAGCTTAACCAGGAAAGGCAAATCCATCCCCTAAGATCTGACTTTGATGTCGAAAGCTAGCAGTATATGGACACATATTAAGAATAGCAGGGGAGGGTATAGCTCAGTGGTAGAGCGCATGCTTAGCATGCATGAGGTCCTGGGTTCAATCCCCAGTACCTCCAGTAAAAAAATTAAAAAATTAAAAAGGAATATCCTGAGGCTGGAAATCTTGGTGTCAGTGACATCCAGGCTCTGACCTCAAGGCTCCCAGTCTAGCCAGAGAGATTCAAATAAGAGGAACATTTGCAGAACTCACTCAACTCTTTCGCTGAATTTCGGACAGGGAAAGCCCTTCTCCCAACTTCCCAAGGCCCCGCTCCACTCATCACCCTACTCCTCTCCTCACCACGGTGGATGCTTCACATCAAGACAATCTGGGCTGCTCTCATCCATCAGTGTGTCAGTTAGACTGGGTTTCCATGAGTAAGTGGGGGCCCTTCCTGTGTCCCCATTTGCCTCTTGCTTTCCCTGTTATACCTAGGGCATCCTCCATATTTTCTCTGATCTTTTTTCTCTTTTGCTAGGGTGCTCCTGTGCCATGAGTGGGGGATGGGTGAGGATCGGGTGGGGGTGGTCCAGGGGAAGAGGGAGATCCAAGGTTATCCAAAGTCAGGGGTGTGGAAAAACAGTTCGAATTGGAAGCAACGAGTCACTCCCAGTATGGAAACCAGCAGGCACTCCATTCTGATACTCACTTCTGCATCCCATGGATAAAGTGGTGATGTGCGATGCAGCCCATCCTCTCTGCCCTCTGACCTTCCTCCCTGCTCCCCTGCTCCCGTCCCACCTGGACAGGCTGCCCTAACTTGGTCAAGCTCAGCATCATTGAAAACACCCACCAGTGGGCTCCTGTCCTATTGATCTGTCCCCTGGGCCACACATCCTCTCTCTCCCCTTGGGCTGGACACCTCTCACTGGCAGCCTCACCTGATGCACCTACTGGGAGAATCCTTCCCATCACACCCGCCTGAGTGAGTGATAAACATCTGAGTGACTTGGGGAGCTGGCTTTGTGGGGGTGTTGGACAGGGTCCGAGGCTGTGGGACTGGGCACTTGGTCCTGTGGGGGTGACACTCACCTAGAGGATCACAGGTCTCCCTCAGAGTGATGGGCCCTATTTCCCGAGTCCCATTAAGCAGGTTGCAGCCTTCTTGAGATGTACATCCCTGGACTTTCAGATGGCTAGAGATGGCCCCTGTGGAAAGAGAGAGGGAGGGAGATGCTGCCGCTGGGATCAGCCAACCCTCTGGGGGAGGCACAGCTCTGGGAAGCCAGGCCCATCTTCCTCTGGGTCCCAGGACTCAGCTACCCTTCCACCCCAGAGACTCAGATCATGATCCTCAGACCCCCTATTCCCATTCAGTGCCCCACAGGGCCCCCATGTCCCACTCACCGCTGAACAGGAGGACCCCACTGTAGCAGTGCGAGCTCTTGATGGGGCAGGTCATCTCAGCTGCAGACCCACAGCCTGCTGTAGACAAGCAGACTGGACACCGCACAGACCCCAGGGCTGGGGAGGTGAGAGAGAAAGAGAGGGAGGACTGAGAGGGCTCTGGACTCAGACTGGACGGCTTGCCTTTCCTCCTTAACCCCTCCACTCCCCACCCACCCCCCTGCGCTGTTTTGCTGGTCCTAAGAGTCAACCTCCCTAGTCTCCTGAAATGTGCCATCTTAGGGCTCCTCCTAAGAAGGCCTGGGATGCAGGGAGTTCAAGATATGTGACTAGAGAGAGAGCAAGGTGGGGAGGGACCCTGAGATCTGGGAAGGGGCGCCTGGGACTGAGTACAGGAGGAAGTACGAGTGGAGAAGGGGTGCCCTGAGAGGAACCATTGGCTTCACCCCACAAGTTCCACTCAACAGTCCAAGAAGACAAGCGCCCGTGTTCAGAGTATGCCACAGAGTAGAGAAATGCCAACCATCGCTCGGAACCCGACTTAGGATCTCAGACGAAAAAGGGCAGTGGGAAGTTACAAGCCGATTTCACTTAGGAAGAGGAAGTACCAAACCCTGAATAGAACACAGGTAAACCAAATCCAATGGCATAGACAAAAGGGGCGGGCACCGCGTTTGGGCTGTCGCCACAGTCGAGTCAGAGGTGGGTGATTGAGCATAAGACAACCAGTCCAGTTTGCTGCTCCGGGACTGTTAGAAGTCGTGCTAAGGGAGGGAGTGCTGGGGAGGGTGGACGGGGTGGACCGGGTGGGAGAGGCAGGGAGGGATTCTAAATGAACTGTCCCTGTGTGCTCTCCCCCACCCCCTCAGTCCCGTTGCTCCCCTCCTCCCAACAGCCCCTTTCAGTTCCTCCTCCTCCTCTCCCTCTGGCACCTGTGGGTGGGGGCAGGGCCCGGAGAGGGACAGTGGAGGAGAGATTGTTGCACAGATCCTCCCTGCACACGTGGGTGTAGGATACAGCGGAGAGGCCGGGGCCTGTCCTGTGCTGGGTGACGCGGGCCTCCTGATTCGCCGCCTGGGTGCAGCCCTTGAGGATCAGCAAGTTCACTTGGAGTTCTGGACAGAAAGAGAGAGAGAAAGAGAGAGAGGTCAGGACTCTGGGGTCCTGCAAAGAGGGTCTGTGTCGTGGCCTGGGATGAGAGGCTGGACAGGAGGCCCCTGGACAGCCAAGGAGTTGCTCCTGGTATTGGGGTTGTGGGGTGGGGGGGGGCTCTTCTGAGTTTCTACACAGAATGCAGGTAGGACTGGGTGGGGATAGGGGTGTCTGCACAGGAGAGGGTGGGGGTCAGGCGTGGGGCTCATGGGGCCCTTCTCACCATTCTCAATGAGCAGCAGAACTTCCTGGCAGCCCCAGCCATCTTCACAGGACTCCTGGCTGGTCGTCCACTGGAGAGGCAGCTCCGATATGTCCCTCACGGTTTCCTTCCTCCCGTGGTTGCAGATCAGGGCGTGCACTCCTGAGGCGGGAAGAGCAAATCTATCTTAGCCGATCCTCCAGGGGAATCCGCTCCCAGGCTGGGGTCCTCACGCACCGGTCAGGGTGTGGGTGATGCCCAGGAGGGCCAGCAGCAGGGCAGGGCTCATGATCAGGGCAGCAGGAACACTCTCCTTTTCTTTCTCCCAGGAAACAGCGCTTTTATAACTTGCCTCACCCGAGGCAGCCTCACCCAAGGGAAATGGTGGGGAAAGCAGGGTCTTGCTAAATAAAGCCTTGGCCCACCCTCTGAGTCTCAACAGCTTAATGGCAGAGGAATCTGAGTCCTCCATCCTTTCCCGGACCCAGGATCCAGGGCCTCAGCCCCCTCAGCAACATTCGAGACTGAGGCATCCTGGCTCCTAGTCCCCACTGGTCCGGATCCGCAGCCCACTTTCCTCCTGGGCCCAGCTATGTGGGTCCCCACCCCCACTCTGTTGCGGGGTCATTTTGGAAGGCAGTTTCCTCATCTCATAGCAGCTTGGCCACCTTCTGGCCCCAGGTGGTGAAATGACCCAACTGCTTGTGAGGACACTGAGCAGCGGGTCTTGGCTGGTCCCTAAGCTCTCCTTACCCTAACCTCTGTCCCCGCGGATTCCTACTTCTCTTTTCTTTCTCCTTCTTCCCTATATTGCTGTCCTTGTTACTCTCTGGTTCACGACTTTCCCTCCTGCTTTCTCTCCCTCTGTCCTCTTCCTTCCCAGCACAACACAAGCCCTAGAATCTCTGCTTCCCTGCCACCCAGGAGGGAGCTGACTTATGGCAGGAGGAGGGGATGGCGGCAGAGACTGAATGTCTTTTGAAGAATTCGGATATTCCTTGTCAAAGCAAAGTTTCTTTGCCGGAAATAGATGGGAAGACTGATGTGCTAGAAGATCAGCTTTTCAGAAAAACAGCATCAACAAACCGAGCCTCGTAACATTGGCCTATTTCTATGGTGTAAATACTCCTACCAGGTCTGATTTTAAGCTACCAACCATTTAACAACCAGCTCACCAAATCCCTAAATATTTAACAATTGGCTTCTGCAAACCTGCACAAAGCAGCTCTAGCACACTGGAGAGGAGAGAGACAGGGAAAAGTAAGGGCGTGTCCCTGGGTGACCACAGAGGCCAGATGTGAGAAAGAGAGGGGAAAGGGAGAGAGGAGGAAGAACAATAGTAAAGGAGAAAGAGAAATGAATATGTAACTTGCAATTATGTTTACCTTGATATCTTTTTACATTCCATTTTTCTTTGTGTTTGCAAGTTTAACATTTGCTACAGGGACAGAGGCATGTTCCTCTCACCTCCAACTGTGTCTCCACCACTCACATGGCATAGTATTGGTACTCAATCAATATTTATTGGAGCGAGGAAGGAAGGAAGGAAAGACAGCAACAGAGCCATCACTACATTTGTATGGATTGTGCATCCCCTCCCCAGTGATTCACATCATTGCTGTGGGAATGGCACCCTCTGGAGTTGTGCATGGCCTAAAGCAATGTCCCTGAAACAAAGGAAGAAGGGAAGGAAGAGTGGGCAAAGAGGCCCATAGGATCATAGGTGGCCAATTAAATAACAAGAACAGAAATACTAACAACGATGGAGCCTTGTGCTAAGTGCGCCAAGGCATCCACCTGCAGCACTGCCAGTGCTGATTCTTTTCTTTTCTTCTCTTATTTCTTCTATATCTTTTCTTTTCTCTTCTCTTTTCCTTTTCTTTCCTTGTCCTATTAGGAGCAACAATTGCAACAATTCCTTGCTCCTCTTATAGAAGAGGATCAGAAACCAAAAGAGGGAGAGAAGCTCACCAAGTCCTCTGATTCAGGCTGTGGCTGAACTAGGAACAATTCTGGGCCCTTCAGCCCACATTTTGACTGATTTATTCTGCTTTCTCCCTCTGGACTAGCCAGTGGGTTCATCAGGTATGAGAAGCCTGAATCATGCTGGGATTTGCTGCAGATATTTACCTATAGAGGACAAAGGAGACTGTGTAGCACTTGGGTAGGGCTTCTCCACATGTATCTCCAGCAAACACGCTTACTTCCCCCTTGGGTCTCTATAAACCTGGCTTTGTTTCTGCATGATTAGCATCATTTTAGTTGTTTTTTTAAAATATATTTTTATTGAAGTATAGTCAGTTTACAAAGTGTCAATTTCAGGTATATAGCACAATGCTTTAGTCATACATGGACATGCGTGTATTTGTTTTCATATTCTTTTTCACCACGAGTTACTAAAAGATACTGAATATAGTTTCCTGCGCTATACAGCATGAACTTACTGTTTATCTATTCTATATGTATCAGTGAATGTCTGCAAATCTCTAACTCCTAATTTATCCCCTGCCACCCCCTTCCCCCCTGGTAACCACAAGTTTGTTCTCTATGTCTGAGAGTCTGTTTCTGAGATTCTTTTCCATTATTGGGTATTATAAGGTATTGAATATAGTTCCCTGTGCTATACAGTAAATCCTTGTTGTTTATCTATTTTAAATAAGCCGTGTGAGTCTGTTAATCCCATACTCCTAATTTATCCCTCTGCCTCCCCTTTCCCCCTTGGTATCCATAAGTTTGTTTTCTATGTCTGTGAGTCTGTTTCCGTTTTGTAAATAAGTTCATTTATTTCATTTTTCAGATTCCACATGTAACTGATATCATATGATATTTGTCTTTCTTTAACTTACTTCACTTAGTATGATAATCTCTTATGTCCATCCATATTGCTGCAAATGGCAGTATTTCATTCTTTTTATGGCTAATATTCCATTTGTGTGTGTGTGTGTGTGTACACATCTTTATTCATGCATTCGTTGATGGACCTTTTTAACATTTTATTTTTGTTTGGCTTTTTTGTTTTGTTTTTGTTTGTTTTGTTTGTTTGTTTGTTTGTTTTAATGGAGGTACTGGGGATTGAACCCAGGACTTCATGCATGCTAAGTACACACTCTACCACTGAGCTATACCCTCCCTCCGATAAACATTTGTTTTTAGTTACATTCTCCCAACACCCCCGACCTTCCAAATTGCTAAGGCATCACCCTGCTAGCCACTGCTTCTTCTTAAGCTGATTCACCCAGTCTGTAAATGTGGCTATTCCCCAGAGTTCATGCTGGTTCCTTTCTCTCACTATTCACGTCCCTTTCTATCCACATTGATGGCTTCACTTCCCTTCCATAAGCTGATACCTCTCAAATCTCTAACTCTAGGCAGGACCTTCAATTCCAGGCTCCCATTGGACATCTCCACTGTGATGTCCCATTGGAAACCTTTGCGATGAACACAGTTCATGTTCTGGCTGCCCAGCACATTTCAAAAGCCTTTGCTATACTGTATTTTGCCTTGTATTCCAAGGCAAAATCCAGAAAGCTCATTTCCCCAGGATCCCTTGCAGGAATGACACAGAAACGGGACCCAGGTGTTCCCAATCAAAACACAAGATTGTAAGCACACAGCACCACAAAGCAAAGGGTGCATGACATTGATTGCTTTGAGTGAGCGTGGGTAGTGGTGGTGTTGGTAGTGCAGAAGTTTCTGGACTCCAGGGCCAGCTTCAGCAGTGCAGTGTATGTGTGGTTTCTCTGCCTAGCAGTGTGGCAAAAGATCTTAACTGAAGCTGCCCAGAGACTACAGTTTTGGCATTGTACTGGGCCATGTGGCCTCCAAGCCTGCTTCTCTGATTCCCATGGAGCTCTGTGATCTGCCTAAAATATTCCTCAATCAATTCCTTTTCTGCTAGTTGGAAGGGCATTTCTGCTTAGTGCCCCTCAACTATCCTAACAGTCAATCACCATTAACTGTGAGGAGAATCGTTATTTATTGTCATGAGAGTTGCCTTTACTTATTGTAACAGTCAACGCAAATTGTCACACAAATCTTAGCATCAAAAATCCCCATTAATCATACAACAGCATTAATTGAGCCATTACTCTGTGCCCAACCCTGGTAATTCTTAACATGGATTATCGAATTGTCACAACCCCCATTTGAGGTTGGTAACATCATCCTCTCCGTTTTCCAGAGAGGAAGCTCTGCTAATATGTTGCAGAGCTGGGATTCAAACCTAGGTGGTCTGACTCCAGGGCCAGGTGTGCAGGGCTCCTCCCAGGTGTACAAGGTCTCATTCTTGGTCTCAGAGGTATAAGAGTTTCCCAGACCACTGATAACTTGGATTAAAACCCAGTTTTTCCAGCTTCAGTGTTCAGAGTTTGAATTCACAGACACACTTCAGGAGACAAAAAAGCATTTTTGCTGAAATCCAGACATTCTAGGGAATTTATTGCAGAGATGGGGGCATGGTTCTCATCTTCATTCTGCTCCTCTCTGAATACAGATTAATGAATGCAAAAGATGTAAAATTTTATGTTTCTCATATTCTTTTTTTAAAAAAATCATAATATTATATCCATTTCTGTCCAATTTTAAGCTTCTCAGCTCTGCGTCTTTTTCTCTCGGTGCTAACTAAAGAAATAATATACCCACATTTTGAAACTAGAGCCCTTTCTAACTGCTGGCAACAGAAATTTCAGCAAGATAAGAAGGTGAAAATGTCCCATCTTCCTAGACAACCTTCGATCAACAGATCCTATTCGGTATCCTGAAACAGTCTTCACAAAGATAATTTCTAACAACTGAGTCTTATAAGACACCCAGGCCCTAGTGGTCTTCACTTGGTCCTGTGAAGGTAGATCTTAATCTCTCAAAATCTAAAATTCTGATTAATTGCCTTACTTAAATCCGTTAATCCATTGCCTTGGACATAAGATTTAAACTGACAAATTTGTATTCTAGAAGATACCTGTGGGGGTTTGTTTGTTTGTTTGTTTTGCTGTGGAAGAGGGCCTTTTGGGGAGGAAACTCTTTTCTTCTAACCTCTTAAATTCAGAGCCTAGGGGCTGTAAATTAAACTGACAAAAGTCAAATTAATTAACAGGAGAAAAGGCAGACAATTTTTATTATTTATGTGCATGGGAGTTTACATAAAAAAATTGAAACCTAAAGCTAGACTCAGGGGCTTATGTACTATTTTAACCAAGGAAAGGAGGTTTGGATTTAAAGGGATGATAAATTGTGGGGAAGTTACTAGAAAATATATGGAGTAATTAATGGGAGATGAGGGTTATTTTAAGGGAAATTTGTTTATGCAAACTTGTCTGTGCTGATTCCTTGTCTCTGGTGATGAGTTGTTCTTTTTCTGGTACATAGTGGGAAAATACCTTCAAAAAGGGAAGTTTATATTCTATCTTTGGCAATAAGTGGAAGACAGATAACTCTTCCTATATTTACTGGTTCTCAATTGTCTTTAGCTCAAAATAAACCTTATGCCAAAGTAGCAAATTTTGGGGTGTCATTCTCTCATCCTCTTCAGGTCATTGATCAAACCATCTTTTCTCTTACTCGTGGCTGTAATATA